CATATGGCGGTGGTTGTGGTGGTGATGTGAGGATTGGTACGGTGGCGGCAGGTGATGACATTGGAGTAACATGCACCACGGTGGCGGTAGTAGCGGTGATGGCAGGCATGGTGGTGGGTATGGTGGTGGATGTGGGTACGACGGTGACGGATTCTTTCTGTAAAGGAATGACATTGTATTACATAAAGAATTGAATACATATCAAAATATTAAAATTAAAAAAATAATAAGTCATCGCTTTACGTTGTCGATATGATGACTCGCCATCGTCTTCATTCTCAGCACCGCTGTCGCCACCTCCTCAAATTCGTTCAACCCGAGGCTAACACATTTGCCCCGGGAGGCTAGGTGAACGTAAAGTTCACCATTTCCCTCAAACTTGTTGAGGGTGATTTTCAATTTTGGTGATAGCTTACACACCAATTTGTTTCGTCCATTTACACATATAACTTCAACTACACCAAAATTAAAAAACATTTTTTTTAAATCTGTTCACGTGTGCTTCCTGTGATATTGCGTCAAAAATATGGCAAGTGGTGTTAATGTGAAATTGCGCCTTTATAGAGACTTCGACTCGGTAGTACCAGAGACCTAAATTTACTTTAGGTCTCTGGTAGTTCCAAACTGAACTCTTATTGATAGATTGAGTAAATCTATCTAAAACAGTTTTTTATGTCTGTATACAATCAATATCTGGTGCTAATGAATACATGTTTAATTATTTTTTAATTATGATCAGGCTGCGTTATGTCTATGCAAAACAGTTTTTATGTCTGTATACAATCAATATCTGGTGCTAATGAATACATGTTTAATTATTTTTTAATTATGATCAGGCTGTGTTATGTCTATGCAAAACAGTTGTTTATGTCTGTATACAATCAATATATGATATTAATTATTATATGTCTTGTATGTTAACTAGTCATAATAAATGTTTTAAATTGTATACTTGTTTTTATAAATTTACTGGTTGCTCTGTAGCAAATGGAGGCTCCACATCATCCCTGAGGTCAATTAGTACAAACAAAAAACAAACAAGAAATTTGTAAAACATTATTTATGTTTGATTAAATACTAATGTATGAACATACTAGCATTTTTAATGGACATGTGTATGCGAGTAGTTAATTGTTGTAAATATTTCCATTGCTGAATGTTATGCAATACCTCGAATGGTTGCTTTGTTGTTGATGAACTGTCTAAGGTCAATGCGCACTTGCCCTTGATAGCGACAAACGGAACGACATATCCATCATGTAAAGGGTACTGTTCCAGATAACCGCACAGTGGTGTTGAAATCATCTGATGGTGGCGGTGACACGATCCTAATACAGTCTGAAGTATTTGATATATCGATCGACTTCCGTTGATCTCTCGGTGATAACTAGTGACGTACACATCATGACCAAAAGTACAACTGTTCCCGTTAATTTGAGTATGGTGATGTGTATCCGGTATTTGCCAGATATGGAGTTCAAACTGGACGATATACTTGGTGTGGTTAAACTTCTTGCCAACATTACACTTTCCGGTATATTAGTCTCTGAGATCATGAGCCTTCGGTTGATTGTTACAGAATGATGTGTACTTCATTATTTAGCTACTTATATCTCTTATCGGATGTGTCTCTGTTAAAACGTATCGTAAAATATTCTGTTACCTGCTAAAAAAAGTTACTCTTTTAGGGAAAAAAACAGCGTGGCATATTTCTATCGTTTGTAATAAGGAATGCTCCTTTAACTATGGAATGAAATGAATTAATTTTAAATAACAATCTAGCGAGAGGGGTTGGCGCTGGTCTGTTTAAGGATTACGTTCTGTGGTTAAGTAGGTCAGAGTTCTGTAAGCGTAATTAAAACGTCTCTAGATCATATCTCTGACTTATATAGTTTATGCTGGTGTGAGTAAGGTGGGAGCAGGGTGTGAGTAGTGTGTGAGTAAGGTGTGAGTAGGGTGTGAGTAAGGTGTGAGTAGTGTGGGAGTAATGTGTGAGGGATGGGTGAGTAATGTGTGAGGGATGTGGGAGTAATGTGTGAGTGAGGTGTGAGTAAGATGTGTGAGTAAGGTGTGAGTAAGGTGTGAGTAGGGTGTGAGTAATGTGTGAGTAAGGTGTGTGAGTAATGTGTGAGTGAGGTGTGAGTAAGGTGTGTGAGTAATGTGTGAGTAGGGTGTGAGTAATGTGGGAGTAAGATGTGAATAATGTGTGAGTAATGTGTGAGTAGGGTGTGAGTAGGGTGTGAGTAGGGTGGGAGTAAGGTGCGATTAACGTGTGAGTAATGTGTGAGTAGGGTGGGAATAAGGTGTGATTAAGGTGTGAGTAATGTGTGTGAGTAAGGTGTGAGTATGATGGGAGTAAGGTGTGATTAACGTGCAAGTAATGTGTGAGTAAGGTGTGAGTAATGTGTGAGTAAGGTGTGTGAGTAATGTGTGTGAGTAATGTGTGAGTAATGTGCATGTGCGAGCACCACAACCCCCAAAATTACCCTATTGAAGCACTCTTAAAGATTAAAGATATGATTATTATACACAGATTTATTCTGACAAAATACATACAATAGTTTCTTTTTAATATTCTCATTCATTACTGTCCGTCAGTTTTAACCATATACCTTGCTACCACACCTGAATGAACTCTGGACGGTAGACTTTTGTTTCTGACCCTGTCAGGAAAAAGGTACATGGTCGAAACTGGAGTATTTATAAACCATGTCCAGCTGCATTTGTTGCCAGTATTGTGGGGTCTCACTGATGATTTTAAATGTTGATTAGAGCGCGTCTTGTTTTAATAGTCTATGAAATATTTATATATCTTTAAGTTGTCCAGCAGAGATATTGTACTAATCTTGTAATAACATTCAGGTCATTCACCAAAACGTGCATAAGGTAAACATTGACATACTTTCTCTCTATTTTTTATCAATTGTTGTTTCTTTTTCCGGGCAATGATGGTATTTTTTCTAGTTAGAAACAAGTGAGAAACTGGTAGTGATTCCCAGTAAGGCACTTTGAAGGCGGTGTTTGAAATCGGTCTTTCTGTTGAGGCTAAATCTAGCACTTCATTAGCACATACATTTGGTCAACAGGCTGGAAGCAAGTTATTGAATTCAAGACATCCTTTCGCAGAATCTCCTCTGAGATTTTATTGCCACTTCATACTTCACTATCGTATGTGTGATCTCAAGTTCTTCTGCGAATGTTCTTTAGCAGGAATTTCACCATTTTTCGTTGATGTCATGTAGCCTTCCCATGTTTTGTTTTTTAAAGCTGTCATTTGTCTAATTTAATGGTTACTTCAGATATTATTTCACAAACTGATGTCTTTTGCACAGTTTATGGACGGTAGGATTATCAGAAAGTCCATGCTCTAAAAGTAATGATTTGTAAACCATATGTTACTCTTGAAAAGTTAGCAAATTATGTAACTTTTGAAATGCCTTATAAAACTAGAACAACTTGTCCATTCAATCAATGTTGTGGTGGACACAAGAATGTGCTGCACTCATTGCATCATTTGAGGTCACCATAATCCCGCTTTTGACTTCGCTGTCCAACGTTTGCACAAGTGGGGAAGGCAAGGGGATCTGACCCCAGGCCGGGAGATACCAAGTCCTTAAAAAGTGAGTTGCTATTCCTTGCCAAACGATCAGCGTTAAACATAATCGTAAACAACTGCAGGGTTCATCCGCTGTCAGTATAATGCTATGTTGGGTGCCTTCGCCATGGTATTGCAGTGAAATAGCAACTAATAGTCGGCATCAGATCCGCACTATTGTAAGAACGCAAACTAACTGCATCCAGCAAACATGAATATATATGACATTAGCTGTAATGGGACATTAAAAACTAATCCAAAACCATAAGTGTATTTTTATTTCACTAACAAATTTTGTCAAATTGCTTTTAAGCAGTAATGAATCTTTCTTTCGAATAGCTTTTTTTTATTTATGTATATCACTCTGCCTTTCTTATGTTGCGGAACTGGACTGGGTCGATCGTCGGCGATTATTTAGCTCCATTGGTCTGGCCATACGTTTATTGCGTCTCCTGTTACTGTGGTGCCTGGGACCAACCGTTGTTTCAAGCATATGGTGTTTGTTTGGCAGGGGATACCCGAACCTGGGTTGTAATTAGTTGTCTTCGGGCGATAGAAAAAGGAGGAAGGAATATAGCGGAAATGGACTGGGTCGATCATCGGCGACTAGGTACATGCAGCTTAATTGGTTGAGCGCCCATCTCAAGTTCGTAGGGTCTCGGGTTCAAACCCTGGCCTGGCCATGCATTTTTTCATGTCCTGTTACACTTCTTAGAACAAGATTTGGTATGAACAATTGTCATCACGCTGCTGAAAAAACATGTACCAGGTACATGTAAAATTCTGAAAAAAAGGAAAGCTTTCCTGTTTTTTTTCAAGGGATAATATAGTTTCAATTATATATGTTAATTATTAAAGGCAGGAAAAGACAAGGACAACTTCACAGGTGAATGGACTGATAGCTTAGACACCTAATAATTAATACATCCCACCATGGACCAGGCACATACAAATTATGTAACCAATCACTTACAGTGTATAATAAGATACCCGATGGGCCTGCATGGCTCACCTTGTATTAAGCTCATACCATTAAACTTAAAAAGGACCAACTAGACTCAATATCATTACAGTACTATGACTCTTGGTCATTCAAAAGGTCCTCTTAAATTTTTTCAGTAAGTTATAACAGGAACAAGAAATTCAGTTTGAGCACAAAATCCATGCTTGAGCATGAAAACGGTTTCATGAATATGGGCCCAGGTCATGACACAGTGAAGTAAACAGACAGACAGTTCAACAACATGGTAACATAACACAATCTTATTTTGTCTGGCGTAGAAAAGATCATCTACACTAAGGATACCAACTCCTCTTTTAAGAGAACTGTGAAGCCAGATCCAAGCTATGTAGAGTAAAACTCTGTGAAAATTGTAGTTTTCTTTTGATTTATTTCTACATTTTAATTTTGTTTCAACAAACATAAAAAAACATTTTTGCATACACACACTTTCTTTCATTCAAACAAACATTTATGTCACATGGTATTCCAGTAGAGGAAATTCTGATTTCCACATAAAAAAATCCTGCAATCATGAATTTTTTGAGTGTGGTGAACTAGGTAAACATCATTGTTGGATGGCTGTTTTTTTCTATTTTGTGGCAATGTGAATTAATTTGCAGTCAAACAATATTACAGATCCCAACTATTTCAAAATCACAAGTCCAACACACCACATATATGTTTTCTCCCTGATATAGACTTTTAACTTATCCAGGTCTTCTTGTGTTAGTGCTGTATACTGGCTACTACCAGTGCTACAACACGACTGTATGTACTTCTTGGAGGAAACCACAAGAGCTTCCTTACAATGGTACATTCAATGTTGGAGCCATCAGTTTTGTGAAGTCACACAATAATGCCATGGAAAACTGTGTGTTAGCATGTAATGTCCTTTCACAAACATTTTCAAACAATTGATATATTATCTTAATTTCATTATTTCATAGATGTTGTTTGATGCTATAAAATAGGAGTGTTCAATCTAAAGTCTATTACATAAAACGAAGATTAATCGTAACCATTATGAGATGTCATTCCTGGTCTTATAAGTGAGATTTCCAGGTCCGGGTAACAAAGATTTAGTTTTACAGTCCAGTATGCAAAGGAAAAATATGTTCTTTCCTCGGAACAGAAGCACTTCCCTTGGACCAATATTGTCCTACGGTAAATGGAAACCATCCAGTGACATGATGTTTAGTCAGTTAGTGAGAAACACGTCCATTTCTCATAGTCTGTCAGGACTGGAACCATCTAGTGATAGACATGATGTTTAATCAGTTTGTGAGAAACAGGTCCATTTCTCATAGTCTGTCTGGACTGGAACAGTTAGAACAACAGAAAGACGTAGGACTAACACTCAGAGACCTGCTCCCCCTCTACACGGAGGGGACTTCCCTACATTCTGTGCTGAGTCTTCCCACTGCTGAGGGGTCTTAGCCTGAAAAAATTATAACAGAAATGAGAGAGTGCACTTTGACAGAGGATATTAGAATATTTAGTGCGGCCATCAGATGTTGTGAACAGGCAGTAATTTACTGTGTGAATGACAGAAAAAAACATAGTTTGTCTTTATGTACTGGTATTGTATGAACAACAATAGATATATACAAACCAAAATGGACAGTGCATGAACTCCGGAATTCAGTTCCTCTTGTAAAACTTCGTTCACCATTCTATGTCTCTGAAACGTAACATACAGCTATTGAGACTCCCTGATAATGAAAGATTTTGACCAATTTAGGTGGAATGATGGCTGAATTAAAGTTTCCCATGGTGAATGAATATAATGCAATATATTCGTCTTTCTATTATTGAGCAGATCACAGCAGGCTCATTAAATATCTCAGAATTTGATTTGAGCAAGGGCCTAAGAAAATTACCACAGCCTGATAATTTGTTCCAAAAATCATCTGGAAATATCAGCTAATCAGATCATGACAGCCCCATTAATGGTCAGAAATATTTTTGAAATAACATTACCTCATTAAGTATGTGTAAATTTCACTCAACATAAACCTTGGGTAAGTTAACTCAGTAGAAAGTATACCAAGCAATTTTCTTTAAAACCTGATAGTTTCTTCAAATATCAGAAGGCAGTAGCCTAATTAAATGCGTGTAAACTTGACTGAGCAACAAATTGAAAACATAAACTGACGAGGTCACACTAATGTTCTCAGGATTGATATTTCAGTCACATGAGACAGTGAATGGTTTTATCTCCTATAGTTTATCAATTTACCTTCACAAAAATGTACGATCAATGCTGACACTACAATAGAGATTAGTAATATACTTAAACTATTGCACATGTATTATGAATTATGATGTCTATTAGTTGATAGACAGCACGCTGTTGTTTTTCAATAGAAGGCAAAATGTCAGACCAAGATTGCAAACTTGGATTTCATAACTCTAGATAAACACTTTGTCTCAAAAACTACCTGTTCCTGGCAAATCTTCGTGACTTCAATGCTATCCACAGATCCTACTTTCCAACAAGTGTTGGTAAAGTGTACCGACTCTACCAGGTACAATATGGACACCTCGGTCAGGTATAGGGAGAACATTTAATTATCCTGTACAACATTTCATTTTGTTTGACAATAGAGGAATAAATGCTACAGATAATGTAGGGTAATTTTACTTACCTTTATCAAGGCAACACTTTGAAATTTGTCAGATATAACCACCACCTTGAAATGAGTCTCAGATCCTGAAGAATAGAAGTAAACATCATTACGTATGATGTAGCTATAAAATGTAGATTGTGACAAACAGAAAGCAAATCATTCCTGTTATAACCTGTTACATAAACTGTATCGCATTTAGGTGAAATAATAAAGGGAACAACCCTGTGTGATGGAGACAAGATATTTAGTTACTGCTCTTTATAAAGTTACAGCAAGTAGATCAGTCCAAACACAAATCAAATACAGGTTCTCAACAAATGTATGTAATAACCCCAACATGATGTCATCAAAATAGTATAGCGCTAAGTGTTTCAATAAAAACCACAGCCTCCTTCATCTCACTTCCTATTTTCAGAGCTAGAGGGTGTATTATCTTATAATAAATAATAGATAGTTATAGAATGAATGTTGTCAGAAATTGACTTTTCTTTTTTAACCAAACAAACTTTAAAGTGGTATTCATCAACAGTTTTGAAACCTTTTAAAATTGTTCTGATTTTCTGGAGAAATTACAACAGAAAGAGAAACTTTTCACCTAATATTATAGTTCTTCGTTACTTTGCATCTGCACTTTCAAAAGTCGTTTGCAAACTAATACATCTGGACTGTGTTTCTCAAAAAAAAAAGGACGCCAACAATTAGATAATTGTTATTAAATTGTTGGTATCATTTCAGCTTAGTTTTATGGCTGATTTATAACAGGCTCCTTCCCCTAGCAAGAAAAGTTCTTCATTTTCTCAAAAAAAAAAAGAAGAAGAAAAAAGAAGGAATATCTTTCAATAATAACATTGTTATATTTTCCCAATTCATGTGGGAACAGACTGCTGTTTAATTTAGGTACCAAACCCCCCACTTCAAGTGGGACTAGTGTAATCTGAATAGCTGTTTCCTTATCTACATTACATACATTCCTTGTCATTCTGAAGGCAGATGAAACGGCATAATGACCTAAACAATATCCACTGAACACAATGGAGGACTTTAATGACTTGGTGTACCTAACACAGCTACCTTTAGGAACATTGTGCATGTAGCTTTCATTGATCACTTCCAGGTGCTGTGGGGCTAGTCTCTCTGTCAGCTTCTTTGTGATGGATTCCTCGACTGGTTTCTGAAACATATCAGAAATCAGTATCCAGTATAGGACTCATGTACGTCAATGTGAACTGAAGGGCTTAGTCTCCGAAGGATGATGTGACATTTAGTACTTTGATATTATTGAAATAATAAACACCAGTTGCTTGAGTAATATATTATGTATACATGTTCAAATGGTAAAACCAGCAGTTAAATCTGTGTTGATGAAGGTGACGGAGTGCATATTGTACTAATTATTGAAACTTCATTCATAAACATTTCACGGGCTGTGCTAAACATACCTATACATGTGCTTACCAACCTTAAGGAAATACATGGATTCTGAAACACTTGAATTATATACTTTTGGCACTCGCTCATATATTTATATATGGCAAGCCAAGTTGTCATTTATTCATGGAGCAATGTTGATCCAGTACTTAACCAAATTATATTAGATATCTTAAATATCTTATAAGATATCTTATAAATTATATAAGCTATCTAACGAACATATAAGATATCTTATAAACATATAAGATATCTTATTTTATTTATTCATGGAGCAATATTGATCCAGTACTTAACCAAATTATATAAGATATCTAATGAACATATAAGATATCTAATGAACATATAAGATATCTTATAAACATATAAGATATCTTATTTTAAGTTTATGAGATATCTTATATCTTTTAAAAGATATCTTATATAATTTATAAGATATCTTATAAAATATATAAGATATGGCAAGCCAAGTTGTCATTTATTCATGGAGCAATATTGATCCAGTACTTAACCAAATTATATAAGATATCTTATATACTTTATGAGATAACTTATAACATGTAATATGACATCATACATGTGGTTGACAGGTCATGGCCAACTTATTTAGTTTCAATTTTAAACCATACCATACTATCTGATGACATCCTCAAAAGTCTCCAGGATTTATCTAACCTAGTCAAAATGGATGTACCTACAATAAATATATTTTTTAATAAGAATTTAATATAATCATATATGCATTTCATGGTTTACCGTCATCTTTACAATGCAGCAAAATGTAGCTAATTATAATTAATTTAATATTTGATGCTGTCTGAAATTATTGACTGAACACACATTCCTTTGCACCATTTCAATAAGTTCAATACATCACATAACTGGTTCCGATTTTTAATTGTGATCTTGAGTAGGCCTGTGACTTATGAGTTATACAGTGAGCCTCAAGTAACATTAGCACACACTAATGTTATATTCATTGGCAATCATCAGATCATCGATGCTCATTGTCATGTCCAGATATTAATTAGCAAATTCACGTGATTAACACTTGGGGACAGATTGACATGATACCAGTTACAAAACAATTCTTTACTAATTTACGGCACACAACGTTAACCCTTACCTCTCAGCATCCTTTTACACCCTGATGACTTCAGTAGCCTTTGAGTCTTTTTAGTCTGAAGTATTCTAACGACGTTTCTCATTGGTCGCATCCACGAAATAAACCAATCAACTCTATTCATACATATAGATTTGGTGAGGCAAAAAGAAAATGGCGACGTAAACAAAGAAACAAGGCTAGATTGTTATTAATGATCAATTCAATTTAGTACTATTTTAAGAACATGTCATGCGATGGACACTCGTCATCTCAAAAGACGTTTACCTTCTTTGACACATCAAATGATGAACGAATAACAGTTTCGATTCCAGAGGTAGGCCTAATGCATCCAACTTTATCTGAATAATTATGGGCATGGTGATGATAATTTGAGTTTTATGGAAAGTTCTTTTTGCACAACCAATATGATTTTCTATGTGACATTTTGATGACTAGTACGATATGTACACTGTCATCTTAATCAGACGAATGATCAGTGAAGCCTATACACACAAAGGTATAAAATGTGTACGAGTTGTCCACAAAATCGATGTTGAATCGGCTATGCTGTAAGTACAATAGCTGTTATGTATGTACCGAAATGACTCGATTCAGCTACGCTTTGTTTACTACTTGGTCATAGATGTGCGAAGGTCTTTGAGCCCCCTAATCTCGATTTAGAAGTGGCCAACTGTGGCGTATCCAGATGGCTTCCTTTATCTGACGCTTGAACAGATTGCTCTCTTTGTCCAATACTTTAAAGTTATCCCAGTCAATCACATGGTTTTTCTGTAAGACATGGTCTGTGATTGCCGATTTATTCATCTTGGACTCCGACTGCTTCCTTTGTGATCTGGTGAATTTCCTACCTTCTTGGGTTTCATATCTTTACAGTGTTCACCAAGGCGGACCCCAAATCGCCTTCCAGGCTCTTAAATATACGACGTGTCATAGTCTTTGCATTTAATTTTGTATACACATTCTGCGACGTTTTCTTTAAGTGTTTTATCCTTAGGGTTTACTAGGATAATATTACTCATTGCCCTAGCGATGTGACTCTGTTCTTGTATTTTGTCTTGTTGTTCTGTGACTATTGTATCACATCTGTTGAGCAATGTGCGTACGACGCCTAACTTCTAGTGCAAAGCATGGTGAGATTTGAAGTTCAGGTATTGGTCCGTATAGGTCTTTTTTCTATAGACCAATACCTTCACGGTTCCGTCTTCTTTCTTAACCAGTAGAGTGTCTAGGAAGGTCATTGTGCCGTTGGTTTCTTCCTCACATGTACATTTGATGTTGTTAATGGCATCTATGGTGTTGATATGTGTGGTCAAATCCTTCTGTGACCCCTTCTTGATTATCTCAAGTATATTGTCAACATATCGTTTCCATAAGCTAGGCTTGCATTCTATTGGGGCAGTGGCTATAGCTTCTTGCTCCAGATGTTCCATGAACAAATAAGCCCCAATGGGAGACACTGGACTTCCCATAGCAGTTCCGAAGCATTGTTGATAGAAGTTGTTTCGGAAACTAAAATATGTTGTTGTCAGAACAAAGTCCAATCTGTCTAATTCTAAGCGTTTCCGAATGATTCTAAGTGCATCGTCAATGGATGTGTTGGTAAAGAGAGAGACAACATCATGTGAAATGAATTCTTCATCTTCCTGAATCCTGATGGTGTTCCGATTTACCCACTAGCGATCCAAGAATGTCTGCTAGTGATCTGGAAACATTGTAACCAATTGATTCAGTGTAGTCCACATTAGGACTCAGTGGGTTTCCCTGCTTGTGAAGATTTGGTGTACAGTATATTCTAGGAGTGATCAATTCTCTGCTGTGGGATACAGATATCCGAGTTGGCCTTTGGTAATATTGCTCTCTTGTTTTAATTTTGACAGGATGGCTATGAGTCTTTTAAACTTTTGAGCTGGATTGGTCTGCAGCTGTTCATATGTCTTGTTATCCTGTAGCATTGTTATGACCTTGACCTCATAATTGTCAGTGTCCATGACAACTGTTGCCTTACCTTTGTCAGCTGGTAGTATGGTAATGGATTTGTCTCTGCCTAATTTTTGGAGTGCGACCCGTTCTTCTTTCATCATATTACTTGTTGGTAATTTTGTGGATTTCAAAACCCCCATCACCTGGGATCTCAGTTGGTCAGCCTCAGCATAGCTAAGTTTCTTATTTGCTTGTTCTGTGGCTTTAACAAAATCATCACCTGGGATTTATCGGGAACAATAGCATAGTTCATACCCTTAGCGAGTAACGTTTTCTCACTACATTTTTTAGCTCACCGGGTCCGAAGGACCATGGTGAGCTTATGCCATACCGCAGCGTCCGTCGTCCGTCCGTCAGTCAACTTTTCCTTTAAAACGCTACTAATCCTGAACGGCCAAGTAGATTTTGACAAAATTTGGTCTGGAGCATCCTTAGGTGAAGGGGACTCAATTTTGTATAAATGGTGGGTGTGTCCCCCCTGGGGGCAGAGGGGCGGGGTCCAATAGGGGAAATAGAGGTAAAACCTTCAAAATTCTTCTTCTACCATAGGGATTAAGGGATTTTATCCTAATTTAGTCTGGAGCATCCTTGGGCCAAGGGGACTCAATTTTGTATAAGCAGTGGGTGTGGTCTCCCAGGGGGCAGAAGGGCGGGGTCCAATAGGAGAAATATAGGTAAAACCTTTAAAATCCTTCTTCGACCATCGTGATTAAGGGATTTTATCCTTATTCAGTCTGGAGCATCCTTTGGCCAAGGGGACTCAATTTTGTATAAACGGTGGGTATGACCCCCCCTAGGGACATAAAGGTAATTGGGCTCTGTTTTATTTTTTTATTTTTTTACATTTCATTTTTTTTATTGATTTTCATGTGAACAATTACATTAAGACCAGAGACAAAACATTACATTACATAACAATTCATTACATTACAATACCCATAGGATTATATACATGCTTGAGTTCAACATGAGCACTGCTTAATTTGGGAACATCAGAAATTACACTCTGCACCGATATTTTTTTTTAAAATATACATATTTATTAACATGCCCTCACATACCTCCACCTTCATCGGTGATTTAGTTGGATCTAAACACAATAGTTTCAGAATAAAATATGCAAGTTCATTTTGAAGCAATTTGTTCACCTAGTTTCTTCCAAGTTTTTTTAGCAGCGCCCATATTAAAGTTAATTTTTAGCTTAGCTTTTGCTATAGATAAGTCAACACTTAGACGAATAGACATACAGCAAGACCAATTTCCATCATCAGTGCAATATTCATTACCGTACCGACAAAGACTTTGTTTATATTTTACTTTGTTCCTCCCTTTCGGATAAGGCATGCCGTCCCCCCCACCTTGTAAGGAATTTTGTGTATTCATTTCTTGATTTATACACAATCTTTTCTACCTCATAGTATTGACATATGTGTGATTTTAAGACTTCAAAACACACATAAATTTTCTTAATTCTACAGTGATAGACATATTGCTTAAAAAGCAGCGACATCATATTAATCATACCATTATGGCGACCATGAAGCCCTAGCAGTATCGATATTGGCGATATACTAAAATTGAACATGGTTTTATCGAGAAACCACTTCTCTAACTCCTTTCGAAGTTTGATTATCCTTGAACATTCATAAAATAAATGTATATAGGTTAGCTCTGTTTGAAATTTGTTATATCTCAAGTACTGGATGGATCTCTTTGAAATTTCATATGTACTTACAGCATCTACCATGGAGTGCTATATCTTTACTTCATACCAATTGTTTTAAAGATATTCAGGTGAGCGATACAGGCCCTCTGGTCCTCTTGTTTAGCATAGAATCATTCAGAGCTGCATCTGTGTTGGTGTTGTTTTGTGTTGATTTCTCTACAACACGGTTTAATTAGTGGCGTTGTTTAGTTGTGTCGAGCGCTCGTTCACCCTTCATGTGTTTGTTCATATCCCCTACAGTGTCACTCGATAAGTGTTGGGTCAGTGTTTTGGTGAGTGCTGTTTCCTCATGCTTGTATGCGTCTATTTTGTTGTTTACAACCCGTATTCTCTCTTTCAATAGATCTTTCTGTGCTTTCTTGATGATATATCTAGCATTTATTGTGTTGACTGGGCACCTAATATTCAGACTTGCAGGTGTTACATGTAAGTCTCTACATCTCAGTGTAAACACAAGGTGATTTCGATGTCTCACTAATTTCTTTTCTAGGCTCTCTAATTTCTGCACATCTTTGACAATATCTTGTCCCTACTTTGTTCGGATATTTCTAAACATTTTCTTCAGGTTGGTAAGAATGGATTATGAAACCTGAAGAAAATGTTAAGAGATAATTTAAGTAGCTTAATTAGTGAGATGAAGGGCTATCAAGTTTATTCAAATAAATGACCTTGGCCTACTTTCAAGGTTTACTAAGATCACTTTTGTAAAATCTTTTATGGAACTTCCTTCAGTACGACAAAACGAGTCCTATACATGTATATGGTTATGATATTTGGCCTGAAGTATGCTGTATCAAAGATGTCTATGAATTTAGTTCAAAAGAATTTCCAAGTCCACAGATGACAGGAGTCAAATGTGTTAAAACCATTGAAAGATTTTTGAATAACCCAATGCCTATAGGGTGATGATATTTGTTCAGTAATATGCTGGAACGAAGGGCTATCAATTTTGTTCCTAGTTAACGACTTTGATCCACTTTCAAGTTCACAGGGTTCAAATGTGTTTGGTTCATGTTTATTGTCCTGTAGCTTAATGGTATAAAGTGCTGTAAATTAGCGGACATTACAACAAAGATTAATTCAGTTTGGAGTTATAAAATGTCCATACAAAGACCCATAATGCATAGAGTAATGACACTTTGCCCATTTAGATAAATTTGACATTGATCCTCTGTGAAGGTCACAGTTGTGAAATGAATAACAGGCAAGTGATAAAGGCTCATTTAAAGCCTCTTATTTTTATGGAACGCTACAAAATACACAGATGATGTGATGTATAATAATCTCAATTCTGGCTTCTCTATAGTGTCACAACAAGGTCATTGTCACAACAAGGGGTTAAATGTCGAGTCAGTCTAAGGCTTAATTGGGACAGATTTTAAGGCATAAAAAAATTCTGTGCCAAAACAGCTGAAAAAAGGGTGTGTTGTTTCAGGTACTGGAGCAGAGCTATGGAATGTACACGTGGCCCTGTGCTCCTGTGTTGGCACAGTATGTGTTGACCCACAGAGAACGGATCAGAGGAACAACAGTATTAGAGGTATTACATTTCATTGATCATAATAACATAATGCTGCAGGTTTTATACTACTAAGTAACCAGTTGTAATGGATTATTTCTGGCAACACAACAATCATGTATCCATTATTACCTGACATACACCTTGACCATTAAACCAATTTGACTTTAACGTGAGGAATTCATCTAAGTAATTGGTACCTTAATGTGCAGGTTTAACTATCAACTGAATGTATTCTATTAATGATACTGACCTCAAAATAAATACTGGATTAAGTTCTATTTACATCAGCATATTTTAAATGGTTTCCTACATATCCTCTTTCCAAAATAAATCATTGTATTAAGACTGATCCCTCAAGGGAAACACACCTGACACAGGCTCGTTGGAAATCTATTGACATTATTATTTGTGAAAAGAAGTTTTATATTGGTATAAGTTTGTAAAGTTTTAGCTACATAACTTCCCTAAACAAGTTTCTTTCATTTGTGTGGTTGACTCAAATCAATATGGGAATAGGGAATTGATTTGTTTACCAGATAGGAGCGGGCACTGCCCTTCCTGGGATAGTGGCAGCTAAGTGTGATGCCCGCGTGACCCTCAGTGACAGTGCTCACCAGCCACAGTGCTTGGATAACTGCCGGGCTTCTTGCATGGCCAATGGACTGTCTGATGTACAAGTTATTGGCCTGACCTGGGGACTGTTTGAGCAAAGCTTGTTGGACCTACCCAAGGTGGACTTCATACTAGGCTCAGATTGCTTCTATGATACCAAAGGTACAACAAAAAATAGTCTACATGATTCTTCTCATCATATATATATACATTTGTTCTAATGGAGTTTAAAGTCAGTATAAACGTTAAATATCCGATACTCCTATAGAGTTTGGACCAGAATCAAGTACAGAATGTTGATGTACTATGTTTTTCGTCCCACGACCATGATTTGTTTTATATAAATGCAGTTTTAATTTCTACATTAAAGTTAAATATTTACAGGATATATATTTAATGCTTTTCCATTGAAAAGCATATATTATTTCACATGAAATACACTGATATGTTTTACAAGCATAAAGCAGTGGTGAAAATATATGGTATTCTACAGGAAAACCATAGATTTTTCTTTTTATTACATATTAATGCTGCTCAGACAAAATATTGCTGTCTGAACAATGTGATAGAGTGTGTGAATTATGTACTTATTTCTTGAATCATTTTATTGAAGGACTTAGGCTTGTAGCACTGAAATATGTCCGGAGCTACCTAATAACAAGGATTTGGTACACTGTACTTGTTTTACAGCAAATCTTACATAAGTTACTCTATACATGTGTTACAGCAATATGTTTGAAAACAACTTTGAGATTTCTTACCGAACAAATCATGCAAATTTCACTGACATCTTTTTTGTAATAAGATGTGTTCAACATTGATTTAACAATAAACCATATTTATGATTTCAGATTTTGAAGACATACTTGTGACTGTTGCTTTTCTTCTAAAGAAAAACAAGAAAGCTGAATTCTGGAGTACCTATCAACAACGAAGGTAAACATTTTGGTACAATACTGCGGCACACATCTGTAGAGTAGAACTTGTATAAAATGGAGGTAAATACCTCAGTAGAGTAGAACTTGTATAAAATGGAGGTAAATACCTCGGTGATCGTGTATAACAAGAGCTGTCGGAGAACAGCATAGCTCACCTATGTATGTTGTTATAATACTGCAACTATCAATAGAAACACATGTATAGTAAAACGTCGTTTTATTTGCCACCTCACTTACCACCAGGATATTTCAAGGACTGTTAAATGTGTAGAAACATCTATGTGAAGTGATTGTTAAGCAATTAACAAAGTGCAATAAAGCTGTTTTTGGGCCATAAAATATGAAAATATGGTCCAGCACATTGCTTACACTCGATATAAATGCCTTAAACTCATAATAGACAACTGTGTATTGAGTGTGATGATCCAACACTGTCTGGAAAAAACTTGCCCAAAACCTTTAACCTCAAAATTAACTAAGTCCAATTAAGCTGTTTTTGGGCTATAAAATATGAAAATATTGCCCAGAACATTGCTAACACTGCATATAAATGCTTCAACCTTATAACAGACAACAGCCTATGATGGTGGTTGTCCAACATTTCACAAAAAAACTTGCCCAAAAACTTTAACCTCAAATTTAACTAAGTCCAATTAAGGTGTTTTTGGGCCATAAGATATGAAAATATGGTCCAGCACATTGCTTACACTAGATATGAATGACTTAAACTCATAATAGACAACTGTGTATTGAGTGTGATGATCTAACACTGTCTGGAAAAAACGTGCACCAATACTTTAACCTCGGAAGATGGGACGCCGAAGCCGACGCCGGGGTGACTGCATTAGCCCCCCTATTCTTCGAATAGGCAAGCTAAAAAGGACACCATTTTGTCTACCTAGATACCTCAGTAGTGTAGATAAAAAGGACACCATTTTGTCTACCTAGATACCTCAGTAGAGTAGATCCTGTATAAAATGGACACCATTTTGTCTACCTAGATACCTCAGTAGAGTAGAACCTGTATAAAATGGACACCACTTTGTCTACCAAGATAACTCAGTAGAGTAGAATCTGTCTTATAAGACACTATTCTGTTTATCTATATAATCTATAGAGTAGCACTTGTGTAAATGGACATCATATCGTTTTCCTAGATTTGTAGAAAAGAAAAAAAGAGAAAAGAAACAAAAAACCCAAAAACAAAACAATGTAGTGATTTAGACGTTTTATAAATATATTACCTGTTATGAACTTGCAGAAGATTTAAAGAAATTTTGATTTTCCCAATTACTGTAGTTTTCACATTTGACAAAGTTTTATGGATGATTTATGAACCGGACAGATGACTGTGTAGCTGCTGATATAATATGTGTATATTTATTTTATAAACAATGTAATCTATGGTTGAACTCAGATGAGATTCAGTATCAGCACATTTCTTGATATATTTGGAAATACTACATTTCATTATTTTATCAGATTACAAACCTGTACAATGTGTTTCTGTTGCAGCTCTGATAGAAGTATAGAGTTTCTACTGAAGAAATGGAGACTGACGTGTACCCATGTGTCTCTGTCCATGTTTGGAGCCGACGTCCCACAACTAGCTGGATCAGACTTAACAGGCAACCACAGCATACAGATGCTGGTCATCACAAGTAATGGTCAAACAATATAGGATTGACCTCTCACCAACCCTGGCAACCCTTGTACAGCTGCTGGTCATCACAACTAATGGTCAAGTAATACAGGATTGCCCACTCACCAGCCCTGGCAACCTTTGTACAGATACTGGTCATCACAAGTAATGGTCAAGCAATATAGGATTGACCACTCACCAGCCCTGGCAACCTTTGTACAGATACTGGTCATCAAAAGTAATGGTCAAGCAATATAGGATTGACCTCTCACCAGCCCTGGCAACCCTTGTACAGATGCTGGTCATCACAACTAATGGTCAAGTAATACAGGATTGACCACTCACCAGCCCTGGCAAGCTTTGTACAGATACTGGTCATCACAAGAAATGGTCAAGCAATATAGGATTGACCACTTACCAGCCCTGGCAAACTTTGTACAGATGCTGGTCGTCACAAGAAATGGTCAAGCAATATAGGACTGACCACTCACTAGCTGGCAACATTTGCACTATGTTGGTCATTTTAAGGGATGGCCCTGAGATGTGGGACTGGCCATGCATTTATCAGGCAACCACAGGATACATAATATTATGTTGGTCATCATGAGTGTTGGTCAAGAGTCCTATGAGTGACCAATTACTCTACACCATACAAAACACTGGTCATTATAGATGTAGAACTGACCATTCACCTGGTTACTACACCATACAAATCATTGGTCATCATAGACGTAGAACTGACCATTCACCTGGCTACTACAAAATACAAAACATCGGTCATCATAGAGGTAGGACTGACCATTTACCTGGCTCCCACATATGCTGGTCAGTGGAGAGAAACTGACAAAATAATAAAACATTAAAAGCTCTTGTAAAGGATCTAATAAATATTGGTGTCATAAAGTACTTTCCCAGCCTTGAACATCACCAGCATAAACATGTTTAATCACACGAACAATGCATCGTGTTTTTTGCAACATTATAATATCCCTTTAGAGAAGCTGATGATCTACACTGAATACTGTTCTCAAGGGTAACAAAGCTGAGTTTATGAGACCTTACAATAACAACAATAACACAATTTACAAGTAATTTTATGTTTTATTATCGTGATCACTTTAAATGACATCATTTCCTATTTGGAATGGAAAAAATATCACTGTATTGAATTAAAATACATCATACTGTGTAATTCATTGGAATTAAAATACCGTAAGACATGCACAGTATGAGCATGATAAATGTTGTGATTCCCGGGTCAAAGAATCATCTCATCGTCATTAAACTCTATCAAATTTAGCCTATACTGATTCCTTAGCCTATACTGATTCCTTAGCCTATACTGATGCCGTAAGTCCCCTGGGGGTCTTTGTCAACATATTTTATTGTTCCGAGAACTAATTACTCTCCTGGAGTTCTTACTGTATTAAAACATGATCACAAATGCAGATCACCATCAACCTTTGATCCTGACATTATCAAATCTGATATGTAAAAGACAATGTATCAATGCACAGCAAAACAAAATCTTGAAGAAAAATTGTACATACAAATATATATATGAAAACCCTATGTTCTCATTGTCCATTAAATATATGAAAAGTTTTGAAAAATCAGAAACACATAGATCTGTAAAGCATTAGGACTATCATTATCTATTTTATTAATGACATTATAACGTGTATCTGTGTAGCTATGTATACAGCATCTAAAGATTGATAATGAAAGCACAGTTGCTTTACAGATCTATGTGTTTCTGATTTTTTTTTATAAAAGATTCATGTACTTGTTACTTTTTTTTACAAATAACAGAGCAACACATTTTGTTTTGATAATATTGAGACTTCTTCCATTGGACAATTCTCATTACCTTTGTCAGTAGTTCAGGGACCTTACGCTTTTTCTCCCGTAACAATCGTTACGCCCTTATTATTACTGACGACTACAATCTCCAACCCAAAGCATTGCTATTTCATTTTGTGTGTGGCTGACACTTACAACTCATTTACAGCATTAACCAAGGAAAAGACTAACAACATGTAACCCACATAATACTTACCAATATATTGTACCAGTATCCAATGGCTGAGCCGTGAGGAAACCTATAGATGTTATGGGAGATATAAGCCTGTTTAGTTCTTTATCAGAGGAGCTGATGATGACTAGGTTAAATGTACAACATGACTAGGTTAAATGTACAACATGATAAAGGACTGAATTTCATTATTTTTATCAATCACATTCACTGAATCTAAACAAAAACAATATTCTATATTTTGTCTTTGACACTTTTCTGTAGTGGTGTCAGAAATACCTGAGATAATTAGCTGTTGTCCTGACACTGTCTGACCTAACAGCTACTATGTATAATATTGGGGCCATCAAGACAAATTGATTAAATATATCAAAGTTGCCACCACACTCTCTCTAACACCTATTACAACAACTGTATCACAGAAATATATATATACACCAGAGTCTAGCTAACCCCGACACCAACTCTATTCACTAAAGACTGTGGCATATCTTCTGATACTTCGCTTCACTAGTCTAAACTGGTAATGCATGTTTCTTTAATCCAGAAAATTTGTTATTTTGGATTAGATGGAGATTATCAAATTACTGTTTCACTAAACCTGATACAGATGTCATGCAGTATTCTGTGATCTTGAGTCTGTAATAACAAAGTTTTGAGATTTAAAGAAAGATCCTAATCACAAGATACTCAAGCGTCACCAATTAAGTGGGTTTTTAAGTTAATTGGTCAACTAATTTCGCTTCTAAAGGTGAAGCTTCATCAGGACAATTTTACAAATTGTTAAGATGCAACACTGATTAGATGTAAATACAGTATACTGCGATCTTCTTATCAAATTGTTGAGATGTATCACTAATTAGTTACACTGATTAGTTACACTGATTAGCTGTAAATACAGTATACTGTGATCTTATTAATTGTTGAGATGTAACACTGATTAGTAACACTGATTAGTTACACTGATTAGCTGTAAATACAGTATACTGTGATCTTATCAATTGTTGAGATGTATCACTGATTAGCTGTAAATACAGAATACTGCATCTTCTTGTAAATTGTTGAGATGTAACACTGATAAGCTGTAAATACAGAATACTGCATCTTCTTGTAAATTGTTGAGATGCAACACTGATTAGTTACACTGATTAGCTATAAATAGAAGTTGGTAAGTACTGATGAGTATTCATACACCGAATCCTTTTCTGAAAATGTGTGGGAACATTTTACAGGCTAAGTAGGACGAATATAAAGACTGAAAATTATGAGCAACAAACAGTGAATTGATCGAAATGTCTTACAATCTTATAATATCTGGGTTCCAGCTCAGAATATCTTATACATATAAATATTTCATCTTTGAGTAACAAAAACGTGTCTCGGTCAATGTCTCGGTCAATCTCGGGTCTTCACTTTTTTTTCAGGAGTTGTAATGGGCATTTATAGCTCGGGCAATCACAAGTCTGCGAACCTCACTAGTTCCAGCTCCAATTTCGTATAGTTTAGCATCGCGTAACAATCTACCTGTAGGATAGTCGTTGATGTAGCCATTACCACCTGGAAACAGAACATAATTCTTATAAATGATTTGCGAAACTTTCAGCTCTTGAATTAAATTCCATGCAGATCAAAGTTCCTTTAAACAAGTTGGCTAATGGAAACCAAGTAGAAGAACGTATATGGAGTGCTAATCATGAACAATTTTGATAGCTCTAACATTTACTGAGCAACTTATATTCATGTTCTATTAATATCTGACTTTGGAAAGTCTAAACCACAACATGATTCTGCAATAGCAGGTCTTAAATCCTCTCCTTAATTCCAATAATCTGTTTATGTTGAGGACTTTTATCTCCGGTATTGTTCCTATTCTCATCAGTAATTATTGGTTACCAGATATTTAAGATACTATAATGTCTGTTGCTGGTTTGACTATAGACCGATATGAAAGTCAAATATTAAAGTCCAAAATAATGAACGCCATGTGTAGAAATGAGGGATTCTAACCTACCCAGAATTTGGATTGCCTCCAGTGCCATTTTTGTGGCCGCCTCAGCAGTGTACAGAATCACAGCAGCACAGTCCTATTGAAGACAAAACATCTATCAATTCTCGCATCCAACCGTACCAGTCAAGGTCAACCGTTACAGTCAAGGTCAACCATACCAGTCAAGGTTGACTGGTCAGCCATACCAGTCAAGGTCAACCGTACCAATCAAGGTCAACCATACCAGTCAACGTCAATCATACCAGTCAAGGTCAACCGTACCAGTCAAGGTCAACCATACCAGTCAAGGTCAACCCTACTAGTCAATGTCAACCATACCAGTCAAACTATAATATCTGGCCTGTTATTGTTAAGATCAACAGGGTGCATGATGTCAACATACTTGTGAAAGTCTCTTGTTTATTCAGTTGTTTCTTTATACTCTTCACTTAGAACATTTAAACAACTATTTTGCCTGCTCTATACTCTTCTTTCTGGTTCACCACATATGTAATACTGTGTAAAGAGTTATTTGTGTGGTCGTTATATTTCTGTGTTTTTCTCATAGTAGTCGAACCTTAGTTTTACTAAAATTTTCATTTATTGTTCAGAATGAAACTGATCTACAGAATGGAGAAGTAAAATCCAGACTTGCATGCTATACATGTTTATCTCCTATTTTACTTTACAGACAATTGAAATTTTCATGTTAAAAGATTATGATACTAAATGGCCAATTTAAAGATGTGCAAGTTTTGCAGATAGGAAAGGAAAGCTGTTCTATGGGCTTAATACACAACTAGTGTCATATACGAACTGCTTGTCCATTCAGACTCGCTATCAAAACTTTACATTTAATTAATATTGGAGTATTTGTAAAAGTTGGTAGGGATTTACATATATTTTCCCCTATAATATATAAGGCATGTTCAAAAATCATATCCTTTTCTAACACGACCAACATTTTCAGTTATACTGTTATCAAAATATAGCATTAAGTTTATACAGATGTGATCAAGATTAGAATTACCAAACCTGAGTTTTAATTATTATACAGAGCCAGTGGGTGGTGGAACACTTACACTGGGGTGTCTCTCCCCTCGGTCGAGCGCCCTCGCTACATTGTAGGTATAGGACCTAGAAGCATTCAGGGTAGTGTACATGTCAGCCAGCTTGGCCTGGATCATCTGCAAATAATTGTATACAGAATTATATTAGTCTACTAAACAAAAATATGTTTGGTTTTGGTTTATTTGAGTTTTACGTCCTATTAACAGCTATGGTCATTTAAGGACCTGCCCGGTTTTGGTTTCAAACAAAAAGTATTCTATATATGCCAATATAAAATTAAACAAACTAAATACTGGTACATATAAACATATCTCTATTGTTTCTCTCTACCTTCCACTTTATAAAAAGAAACTTTGATGTTGCAATGGTCAGGAGCCAAATAAAGATACACCATTTTTGCCTACAGCCTAATGAATTGAATCATAATCATGTGGAGATTGTTGTTTTATATTGACTCGGTGGTACTGTTTTCAGAAATATCATGTTAATATTCTCTTAAATATGGCATAATTTCATTCATAAAACCATGTAATCACCTCAACAAAAGTTCATAATGTAAACAAGAGGCCCAAGAGGGCCTGTATCGCTCACCTGAATATTTAAGCAGTCATAGCAAAATATTCTCATTAAATATTATATTGCACTAAAAATATTTCCCTCGCAAACTTTGTTGGCTCCATCTGTTGAAACTACCAGCAAAATATTATTATAAGATTCTATGCTTTTT